GGCTTATTTGCGGGGGAGGCCTTATATTTTTGCCCATCAGAAAAATGTGGCATGGCCTTATTATCAGGACATGTTGTATTTTCGGGAAAACACGGTACCTACTGCTACTCATTGCTGTTAGGCGCACATGGTTAAAATAATATAGATCAGTTTTTAAATAGGAAATTTCTCCTATTACAAGTTCCATTGAGAAACACATTTTATCAATAGTTGAAAAAATAAAGCTACATTAGCCACTTTTGTAACTTTTAAATGTGAATTAGATAGTGATAAATATGCCACTGAAAAATAAACTTGTAAATGTATATTACTATTACTTTTTATAAGTAAGATTTTTTAATTATTAGCAAAAACACAGTTGTTTATACAATTTCAATATTAATTTGAAATTAATATATTTTAATACAAGTAGAGTGAACGTAAGCTACCGGGAATATTTCATGGGATCCATCTACCAAAGACCCAAATGGATGTAAGCCACAAGCAGATTGTTTGAGAACTGCTTAAAAACTCCAGGAAAATTTGCATATGAACATGTGTTCAGTTCTGCTGAATCTAGAATTCTGTCTTCATTTTTTTTTTCAGTTTAAGTACAGTTTCCGAAATCTAACCTTTATAATTCCAGTCTTTTTGATTTTACACTGCCATCTTTTTCCTTTGCCAAGTTTGTTTACTCTTCATTTAAGGACAGCCTTATCTTTGGTAAAAACTTTATAAACACAAAGTTTTATAGGAAATTACTGTAAATATCACTAAGATGCTTCAAGCATAATGCAAATCTATCCAAGGCAATGCCACAAGGTGCCTTTTGCGTGGTAAGAGCAAAATGCTTGCATGCTGCATGCATCCCAATGTGAATAGAAGAACACCTGGTTTTTGTATGTATTTTCTCTAACTCCCATCAGGGTCTCACTGTGCGAGCCTGTTTAGCACCTCAGTGCTCGGGGGGTCTTCAAGTGCACCCAATCTACAGGATTATGCTCGTACTCATCGTAAAAAGCTGACTACTTCTGCCTGCATAGATGGTATGTGCACACTTTCGCACATGCATTTACATTTACACATGCCCACTATCTTGCACACTGAGAAACACTTTTTAAAAAGGCCTAAATCTTTTGACTGAGAAGAAGGCTGGGTTATTATTTGTCACTATTAAATGCAGTGACTCTCACTGCCTACCTTTTCAGCATTAGGTTGAGGTTAATGTTTCTTCAGTTCTTCTGTAATATATCATCTTCTGAAGAAAAGCTTTAAG